TCAATGTGTTTTAGGCCAGGGGAAAAGAACGTGGATTTCAACCTAACAGCAACAGAAACCTTAAAGAGTGTTAAACAGGAAGTGATGTGATCTAATTTTATACTTTTAAAGAATTTGGTGACTTGCAAGAAAATACAGAATAGGGAGGCAAGAGTAGAAACAGAACCACTGAGAATGCCATTTAGTAGTCTAGGCAAGAGATGACAGCAGCTTGTTCTGGGAAAGTGGAAATGGAGATGGAAAGAAGTAGAGAGCTTCAGAACATACTTGGAGGCAGAGCTGACTGGACTTAACGGATGAAGGGAGAAAGGGAAAGAGGAGACACAATGACAGCTCCAAATATAGGGTTTGACCAAACTAATGGTTCATGGTGCCGTTAGTGACCAGAAATGACTGGGGAAGGAACAGATTTAGGAGGAAATCACAAGTTGCATTTAGAAAATGCAATTCTAGAACTCAGGAGAACCTGGAGACAAAAATTTGAGTCATCAACATAGGGATGCTTTTAAAGCCATGGGACACTAAATAATTTTACCTAAGTAGGCAGTATAGTTAAAGAAGGAAACAGAAGAGAACCAGGATTAAGCTCTGGAACACTATAACATTTAGAGGTCAGGCAAAGGAGGAGCAAGAGAAAAAGACTGGAAAGAAGCAACAGCCATTAAGAAAGGGGGGAAAAAAGTAAGTATGACCTCACAGAAGCCAAAAGAGTGTTTCAAGGAGGGAGTGGTCAAGTGGATAAAGACTAGGAGATAGAGGAGCGACCCCTGCATTTGGAAAAATGGAGATGGTTGGTGACCTTGACAAGAGCCGTTTTGATGGCCTGGAGAAAGCAGAAAACTGAGTGGAGTGGGTTTAGAAGAGAATGAGAAGTCAGAATAAGGAAACAGTAAATATGGGCAACTTTTATTATCGGTTATACTTATCACATGGGCCTGATAACCAGGCCTACCCTGGTCATTGCTTCCCAGCAGTTTTCCTTGCAAACCTCCAGGTCTTTGAGTTCCTCAGTTCTTGTAGGGTAGTGGCAGATTCTTTTTCTCATCCAATTAAGTATTTATCAAGCATCTATTATATGCAAGGCAGCGTGCTAGATGTTGTGTTGGGTTACAAAAGGAAATCAGGAAGATCCTGTCCAAAGTAAGGTTACAGAGCAATAGAGGGTATGAAGCACTTACCAAGATGAAGACTCAGATGAAGTACTATAGGAATTCAAAGAAGTTTCCTTTCATTTGCAAAAGGGGATTTGGAAAGCTCTGTGGAGGAAGTGGCTCTTGAGCATTTAAGTATAAGTAGAATTTGAAGATGTGTAATTGAGGGTGCGGAAAAGTCATTCCCAGCAAAAGAAATAATACAGGAAGCACAGAGGCGGGAAAGCACTACTGATTCTGGGAGAAAAGCCCAAGTTCCAGATTGGCTGGAGCAAGGGCTACTCGAACATGAAGGAATAAGCTCGGATGGAGGGTATCACAGGTGCTGTGTGCTCATGGACAAAGGTCTGGCCCGTAACATCGTCCAGGGACCTGGCCTGTGTCCCCAGGAGCCAACACTCCGCGCTGGGGCCCGCGCCCCTTCGCTCCAGCCCGCCAGGGCTCTCCGGGTTCGTGCCTCTACCCTGAAGCGTTCTTCCCCGCCTCGTCCCGGAGGCAGGGGCCACCGCCGTGCCCCAACTCTCGCCCTCTCTGCAAGCTCGTGGGGACAGCCTCCATCGCTCGGGACTCACCACTCTGAGTCTGAACCGCCCAACGCGGCCTCAACGTCGCCGAGCAGCCGCCATCTTTCCCGTTTCCTGGTCGCCGAAATGCATCCCCAGCCGCGCTGCAAGCTGGGAAGTCGAGTTCCTGGTGCAGGGCGGCGCGGGCTGACATAGAGGACCTGAGAACTACTAATACCATAATGCACCGCGCCAGCGCCGGCCCCGGGCCGAGGGGTCTGCTGGGCAATGTGGTTCTCCAAACATCTGAGGCTGCGGGAGTTACGAGTTACCCATGGGTTTGCATCCAGCCTAAGGTTCTCTCCCAGTGCGGTCTTCCTTGGAATATGCTGGTCTTCCCGGACTATCGTGGCATGTGGCTTACTACGAAGGAATTTAAGGGCTTCCTTAGCTATCAACAGCGCTTAATCGTCACTAACAACTACAGTAACAACAAATACTGTACCGTTTGTTGGAAAAGCGTTTTTACAAAAAAAAAAAAAAAAAATATCTGTGAGGTAGATTGGCCCCATTTTACAGGTAGACAAACTAAAGGTTAGTTTACAGGAGTAGCCTACTGTTTCACAATGAGGGTGGGACAATTCATTGTGTGGGACTGTCCCAGATTTAGGAGGACGTTTTAGCAACGTTGGGGAGGCAGGAACAACCCCAGTTATTGTGTCAACTCCAGATGAACCCATAAGTGGATTATAGAGTCCTGGAAGGATGGTATCACCTGGGCTGTGACACCTGTTTTCTCGACATTCCAAATAGGATCCTGGCTTCCTCATTTTCTTGCCCTTTGGAAGCTGGCCAGTTGTTGGGTGACCTTCCTAGTTTTGCTTCTTTCTTCCCCCTAGTTCCCCCTCTTCAGTCATCCACTGAGCTTTCTTTACCCCAAATTGTATGTTTACTTCGGTTCTCTTTGGTCTTATGGCTCATAATTCACCGCCCCACCCCCACCCCACTCCACCCACCCAAAAAGACCAAACCTTGAAACTTCTAGGATAGTTTAGATAGATACCAGGAGGTGTCTAATGCCCTCTCCCTTCCCATTTTCCCATCAGCAGCTTTTGGTTTCAATACCATGGGGCTGTAGGGCTGAATGTATGTTCAGTTCTCTTCAAACAGAGCCTCAGGATAGACCCAAATAATCCTAAAACCCTGAACACCACACACAATGGCCCAAAGTAACCCTGAGAGAGATAGGCTTCTGCTCTTAGAATAGAAGCCTTCGACTTGCCCACTTTTACCCTAGAGAAAGATCAGAAGGGAAAGGATGTCTGAGATCTACTAGATGTAACTCATGCAGTGAACACTGGAGGGCTCTTCACTCACAGAATGGAACTTTAACAATCAGACCAAAGGTGTAGACCTTAAGCAGCAGCTATAGTATTTACTGAGAATCTTCAAAGTGCCAACTCTGTGCTGGACACTTAAATTACTTATTTTACTTATTTCTGATAACAGTATGATGCGGGTATTATCATCATTTTACTGTTTAATTATGCCTTCAACGGCAACATAGTTAAAAGAATGAAGCCAGAATTCAACTCCAGGTTCATTTAACTTCGGATTCCATGCTCTTCCCCTCTTTCCAGGCTACTACACTTTTTTTTTTTTTTTTAAGATTTTATTTATTTGAGAGAGACAGAGTGAAAGAGAGAATGAGCAGGGAGAGCGGCAGAGGGAGAAACAGACTCCCCACTGAGCAGGGAGCCCGATACTGGGCTCGATCCCGGGACCCTGGGATCATGACCTGAGCCGAAGATGGACACCCAACCATCTGAGCCACCCAGGTGCCACACGGCTACTACTCTTCTTTACAGATAAGTAAACTGAGAAACCAGAAAGGTGATGAAGTTTGTTCAAGTTTATAGCGGCAGAGTTCCCCTAGTGTTCGTGCACAGCTTTCTCATGACACATGTAAGACATTGTGCTTAAAGGATACTCATGTGCTTTGTCCTACCCTGCTGGTTTTCTCACAAAGACGCGCCTTTGGAGATGGCGACAGAGGAACTACGTTCGAGTTAGGCCCATAGGTAGAGTTTCCTATTTAGGTACAACATGGCTAACAATAAGGAGCCCATGGGAGTGTAGTTAACATGGAGACCAGCTGGAATCCTGACTCCATTACTTACTAGCAGTATGATCTTGTGCAAGTTACATAGCATCTCTCACTTTTCTATTTCCTCATTTATAAAATAGGAATATTTCTTGCCTCACAGAATAGGATAGCAGTAAAAAAAAAAAAAAAATAGGGAAAATGCATATTCTGGAGTCCAGCTGCCAAATTTGTATTCAGGTTCTATCACTTTCTAACTATGTGACCTTGGGCACATTAACTAACTTCTCTGAACCTCAGTTTCCTTGTCTGTAAAAGGAGGTAGATAGTACCCCATAGGATTATCACAGGAATAAGTAACATAGAAAGAACTCATAAGTGCCTCTGACCCATAGTAAACATTTAACAAATGTTAGCTATTGTCATTTATAAGGTTAAATGTGATAATGTGGGTAAAGCTCTCAGCACAGTGCTGAGCACATAGTAAGTGCTCAATACACAGTAACTTTCTATTTCCAGCACACTATGAAACTTAAAAAAAAGACAAGTAAGTGACTAAAAGGAAGGGATGTTAAGGCCCCTGAGCTGCCATCAACAGGCAATGGAACTGGGAGGTTAAGAAAGCGGAAGACATCACCTCTCCTTGAACTCGGAGGAAACCAGAACCCCAGGAACCTCCCCACAACCGTGGCTTCAGTCTGTCCCACGTTCTGCAGGGGTTGGAATCTCAGTGGTTTGGGTCCTCTACCAATAATTTCACCAAACCTTGTCTCTCTCCTCTAGACTCTCTAGGGCAGTGGTTCTCAACCAGGAGTGATTTTGCCCCAGAGGACATTTAGCAATATCTGGAGACATTTTGATTGTGAGAACTTGGCGGGGGAGGGTATGGGGGGAAGGGGGGTGCTGACATCTAGCAGGTGGAGGCCAGGGATGTTGCTAAACATCCTCCGATGCACAAGACAGGCCCGAGCATCTAAGCATTACCTAGTCTAAAATGTCATTAGTTCCAAGGTTGAGAAACCCTGGCCTGGGGCTAAGGAGCTCTTCATTGGCTTATTGGACTTGGGTAGGGTTTGGGTGAGGTAGCAGGGAGGGGGAAAGGGAGACCCTTGTTGGAGATGCCAGGGACCAGTGGAGGCAGCCACTCCGCACCCCACAGTAAGGGCCCCAGGGTAGCTTCTTCCTCATTAGCAAAGACCAAACCGGGACAATGGAGAAAGAAACGAAGAAAGCGGAGCCAACTTCTTTATATGTGTTATATTTTTCATTAATAAATAGGTTTTTCTTCTTTAAACACAGAACATGGAACAGATTGAAACACTCCCCCCTCCCCCCGGTTCCAAAGACAAGAGTCTATAAAACAAATGCCAGCTGTCGTGCCCTGAGGGCAGAAAAAGTCTGGTGACCCCCACCCAGCCCTGCCCCCGGCAGCACCACCACCCCCACACTGCGAGAGAAGGGGGTCTGGGGCTTCTCCCTTGGACCCTGGGGACTTAGGTGAGAAGCATATGAATGTATGATGTCAGCTCTCCATGAGGCATGGGCTATGCAAAGATGAGGTTTCCTTTTCATTGGCTCTGACCAGCTCCTGGCCTTCTGATTCCCGTCATGAAGCACCTGGGCTCGGCTCCCAAGGGAGCCGCCTCTTGGCTTCCCCACTCCACTCCTGTGCGGCTTCCTCAGAGGGGAAGGGAAGGGCTCGGGGACCCCGCCCGTCCCCTGGCCCACATGGAAGCGCTGTGTGGAAGAGGCATGATGCTGAAGGTGAGGCTCCTGGAGGCCCCCAAGCCCATGAGGCCAGCATGCCCCCCGCACCCCCACACCTTTCCTTCCTCTGGAGTGGGGGCGGGGGCGTGGGGGTGAAACTGGGGCAGCCGCCCCCACCACAACCGAGTGCCTGGCTTGGGGTGTGATGGTTCTTTCTCAGTGTCAGGTCCTCAAGCCGGGCCTGGCTCTTTCCTCGTCCCATTCCTGTCTCCTTTCAAGCCCTCACCGTGGCCGTCTGCAAAACGCACGTCCAGTGTCCTAAATTGTCCCATCCTCCCTCTCCCCGTGCCTCTGCAACCCAAGGGAGGAAGTGGGAGGTTGCCTCCCTTCTCCAACCCCCACTTCACATAATGGAACAGCTTTTGGCCTTTTCCTTCTTGAAGGTAGAAGAGATGAGTTCGGAACGACTGGGGAGGTGAAGCAGTCGCTTGGAGAGGCTGCGGACAGGGCTCTTTGGGGGCACCGGGCTGGGCTTGTTCAGACACACCATGGACGCCGTCCGGAAGATGCTGTGGATACTCTTTTCTGAGGTGAAAGCCGAGCCTTCCAGGTAGATTTCCGCACCCAGCTGCTTGGCTATCGCACAGCCCTGTGGAGGGGGTGAGGTGGTCAAGGCAGTTGTCCCACGTGGCTCTGGGACCCTGCCTTCTATGCTTAGTGGTACTCCCCGGGGCTCCTCCCGATGGGACCCAAGTTCCAGTCTCCCACCACCACCCTCCACTAACGATTTTCTGAAGGGGAAGCCTAAGTGCACCTTACGATCACCTGTAACACTTCTAAAACAACGCTAATGACAGACCGAGTAAGTCAGAATTTCTGTGGGTAGCGCCTAGGCATTAATATTCTTAAGAGCTTCCCCAGATGATGCTAATGTGAACCACTGGTTTAAAAGAAGTGATCCTTACACTCCACGTGTGAAAGAAATTACCCAGGAATTTCATGAGAAATGCAACTTCTGTATTTTTCTCCCAGAGTGACTCGATGGGTACGGAGTCAGGAATTCTAACAAGCACCTCTAGTGATTCCAATGCAGGTGGGCAACAAAAAGCAATCTGAGAAACACTGGCGCGTGCCTGCCAGCCTACAGCATAAATCGGGGTAAACGGTTGCCTCCTGCCTCTAGCAAGATGACTGGTTTGCTGATTAAAGGGGGCCCCCCCAGAACACCAATTCTCCCTTGCCAAAGTGAGAGTTTGAGCAAGGGCCACATTTCAAGTCCTTTGCCTGTAGCCTTCCCCACCCCACCCTCAACACATGCGTGTGTGTACACACACACACACACACACACACCTGCTCATAGGAGATAGGTGCCTGTTTCTGGTGGGACAGCTCCATCAGCGTGCTCAGGTCTGTTCGCAGGTCTGTCTTACAGCCAATAAGCAAAACACGGGTGCTAGGACAATAATCTAGGATTTCCGTCCTCCACTGAAGAGCCATGTAAAAGGGGAGGGGGAGGAAGAAGAGTCAGTGGCTGACGATACCTGGAGAAGCCCAGCCGGCAACATCACACACGCCATCCAGCTTCTCACCAGCCCAGCCCTCCCTGAGTCACCAATGCCCTAATTACATCATCTTCCTCCTGGGGAGGACTTTGGGGCCACAGGAGCGCTGACCAGAGAGCCTGTCCCCTCACTCTTCGGCCCAGTTCACCAAAGGAAGCACAGGGGCAAAATCTCCCCCCACTCTCTGCCAAGCATGTGGGGCGTGGATCTGCCCCCTCAACTCAGTGGAAGGGCTTCACGGATCCAGAAAGCCATGAGGAATAGGGAGGAAGCCAACCAGTCTCTTCCCAAGGAAAGGAGATAATCCCAAAGTCTTCTGGGAAACTACTTCCACAAGGTATCCTGAGACTCTTCAGGATAGGCAGACTTTGCCCCCCAGACCAGGCGTTTCCTGCCAGTGTTCCACGCTGGCCTGCCTGGCTTGCCCAGTCCTGGTGGGCCTGGGATCAAGGGCTACAGGAGCTGTCTCCAAAAGACCCCATCTCCAACCCTCAAACTCCATCACTGAAAGGTTCTGACTCTCGATCCTTCATGTCCTGCGTCTTCACCACCACCCTCCCTTGCTGGGCCTCTGGCAGAGGAGTACAGGATACGGCAAGGGCAGGAGGCAAAGGGGGAGGGAATCTGGGTTCTAGTCCCAGAGCTGTAGCTAATGGTACGGTCTCAGGCAAATCTCTTTCTTCCCTGGCCTCAGTTTCTTCCTGCTACAGAAGAGGGGATTGGACAACAAGGTCCCCAAGATTCCTTTTTGTTCTCCAGCGGAGCTAGGGATTGCACAGTTATCCCGACTCACCTTCTTGAGTGCACTATCCACTGTCTCGGGTCGGCTGATATCAAAGCATAGTAATACTGCATCTGAGTCGCTGTAGCAGAGTGGACGGACATTGTCGTAGTAGGGAGATCCTGGTATGCGGGAGAAAGAGCTGATGGTGAACTGTGGCATTTGCCCTTCCCAACGGGCCTAAGCCCAACGGGCCCGGGGTCCTGGGAATACCATTCTTGGCCCTTAGGTTATTGGCCCCACCCACCTCCCAGGGGAACATGCTGCAGCCTAGAAGCTTGGGACCTGACCACCTGCCAGAAAGCAGTACAAAAATATCATCTTCCTTAGTCCTGAAAAAGGGGAAAGGGAAAATAAAAGGGGGGTAGACTATAATTTGGCCCTGTCTAGGGCTCCTACAGTGCCCTTAATTTCAGGTCTGCCAGTTTTCTGAGTCCCAGAGGAGGACGCCCCCAGCCCTGCAGAGAGACCAGGGCTTGCGTCAGGTGTCTTTCCCAGAGTCGGCCTGCTGCCCAACCTCTGCTCCATGCTGCTGCTCCAGGGTCTCTCCAACGAAGAAACAAACCTGCCTGTTACATAACTAGCCGCCCTGCTTCTTTGCCATGGGGTCAGAACTCTAGAAGGCTGGCAGGGGAGGAGGAACCTCATGGATTCAGTGCCTTACTCCTTCTGCCTGCAAAAAGCTGCAGCCCCTGTCCCCCAAGATCTCAAGGAGGCAGTTTCAGAGAGAGCAGCACCCATAGCTAGGGATTTGGAGGCTCGAGTAAGGGTCCTTCACAGGGAGAGCAGCAGGCGATGCAGACCCAGGTGGTCATACACAGTATGGGAGAATGCTAGGGGCTCAGCCTGCCCCCCCTCCACCCTGGGGAAGGAACAGTAGCAGATTTGGAACCCAGACAATCCGTGCTCAGAATAGCAAGCAGCCCCTCTCCCTACACCGCAATCGCCATGGAAACTGGGGGAATCCAAGCTGGGGTGGGGGGTTGGTTGTAAAAAAAGAAAGAGAGAGAGAGAGTATAGAGTTGTTGCAATAACTGTCTGCCCCTTCAGCAACCTGCCCCCACCCCCTGTCTGAGGTGGGGTCTTAGCTCCGCAGCACTGAGCAGAGGGCAGAGCGCTGCCGCACTGGGGAAGGGGGAGGGGAGGGGAGGAGGCCTCCATTCTGGCTCCAGGCAATCCCCCTCCCCTCAGACCAGCAAGTGAATAATGGGATCAGGTTCGACCCTGGCCCGGCCCTGGCCCGGCCCTGGCCCGGCCCTGGCCCCCGATGTTGGGAAACCCCATCCCGCACACCGCTCCCACTTCTTCCTTCCTTGTGGGCACCTCATTTGCAAGAAGGAGTTGGAGGAGGACTGATAGCCTGCATCCTTTCCAAAATTGGGGTGTGGGGATGCGACACAGGGAAGAGACACCACTTTGCTGACTTTCCATTATCCAGACTGGGATTCAAGGGCTGCAACCTGACATGGGGGCGGGGCGGGGGCACTTTGGGGCAGTGGTAGTAAAAAGAGATGAGCTGCAGTAAGATTCTGGGAAGACAGAGGTGGGCAGGGTAGGGCGGCCCAAATCCCATACATCATGCAGCCAAGCTGCATTCCAGTCGGATCCAGCCAGCATAGCACAGTCCAGGATAACCAGAACCCTGCCTCCCAACCCCTGGAACTGCAACGGAGGAAGGCATACCAGGTGGAAGAATTTTTGTTTTGCTTTGTTTGGGGGAGGGGGGATGCAAGGGGGGAATTTCATTTTCTGTTTATCCATCCCCTACCCCCAATCTTTTCAGACCTTAAAAATTAGATCATGGGAACAACAGCTCTTTGAGGAGTAGGATGGCATATTTATTATAGGTAACAGGAAACCCCCTAGTGATTTACACAGCTCCTCTTTAAACTCAGCCTGAATGTGCATTTTTGGAGGGAGGATTTTATTTTCTTTCTGTTATTCCTGGCTTTTAGTCCTTAATTATGACTCTGAGCCCAGTCTATTAAAAAAGAACTGGGGCAAGAGATAATGGTAAGGGATGAGAATCAAAGCAAAGGACAGCCTAGCACTGAGGGTTTAGGGTTGAGAGGAAAAATATTGCTTTCTACATTCCAGAAAGACCGGGCATCTTCTACCTCAGCCCAGTACGGTGGGGGTGGGGTGACTGTCCCAGCCGCCCCCCTCCCTGCCACTATCTACAACGAGAGAGTGCCCCACACTAAAGCCATCTCCCCCACCCTCCAAAACATCGATGATGCGTCGCTTCATCCCTGAGCCGCAGCGGTATGACAAGTGGAACCGAGCTGCGGCAGGCGGGCAGCAGTGGCCCAGGATGGAATGCAGGAGACAAAACTGAGTCCGGAGCAGTACTTCCCCAAAGCAGGCTTGTCTCCGGCCTCAACCACCACTGCCTCCAGCAGCACGGACTCCTGCCTCTTATTTGGCTTGGCTCTGGGGCAGTAAAGGTGGGGGTGGGGGCATAGGGAGGGCAGGGAGTGTTAATGGAGAAGCCCTGCCTGACTACCCCCTCCCAGGTGTATTCATGGGTCCATTCACCTCACCATCCCAGCTCTCTGAGAGAAGGGGCTAGACCCAGAGAAGTGGCTTCTGGGGCTCATCCACTCTGCACCCCTGGACCTGCCAACCAAGGGAGTCTTCGGGTCCCCTTCTGTCCGTTTCCTGGCCAGCATCATACACACTCCTCCCCATCAAAGAGGGAAACAATTTCTTAAACACAGCAGCTGTAGCAGACCAGTGGGGGTGCGAAGGGGGCATCTGGGGCCAGCAGTCTTACCTGAGGTGTCCCAGAGACTGAGCTCCACCCTTTGTTCCTCGGTCTCCAAGCAGGCCGTGTAATTCTCAAACACGGTGGGCACATACGTCTGTGGAAAGAGAGGAAGGAGCTCGTCACACCCTGGGCGCCCCTACTCTCATAACCCTCTGGCTACATAAGAAGCCACTTACCGTAGTGAGACACTAAAGTGGCAGGGGATCAGGGGCAGGGGAGGGGAGGGGGATACTTGGCGCAGGGGGGAACCACATGGGACAGGAAGGAGGGGAGTGTAGAGGCACAGGCACTTTGCTCCAGGAAAAAACGAAATCTGAATGACTTCCAGCCGGGGACAAGCCCCCTCCCCTCCTGCCCACCCCCCACCCCCATCCTAGATGGCCAGGGAGGCAAACATACAGATTCCTTTCATCTCCAGACTCGTATGTCTCCCAGTTTTAGAGCCACAAGCAAATGCTTAGCTCTTTATCTTCCCCCACAAGCCCCTCGGACCAGCAGGGTAGCAGAAGCCCGCCTGGAGACATGCTCGCGGAACCTCTGAGGAGGGATGAGGAGACGGGCAGGTATTACGTCAAGAAGAAACCTCAGACTCTCAAATGCCTCCAGTTCCCTCTCCCGAGAGCAGACCCCGGGATAAAGGGAGGTAGGAGGGCACTGGATCGGGGCCTATGGGTGAAGAGGTGAGGAGGAGCCGGCGGGGCGGCAGAAGTGGAACAGGTCTCTGGGGAAGCTAAGGCAGGGCGGTCCTCCAGCCGGGCGCCTGAGATCGGGCAGGGTGGCGTGCGGTGAGCTGGGGGGAGATGGCTCCCCCGGGCAGGTGGGAATCTAGCCCCGGGGAAGGCGGGCAGGCAAGGAGAAAAGCTGGCCAGCGGGCGGGCCGCTCACCTCGGGATAGCAGTCCTTCGCTAACACCTGTAACATCGCCGTCTTCCCGCACTGCACATCCCCCACCAGAACGAGCTTACATCTGGCCACGACTGGCTGGGGGGCGCGTCTCTCCTTCATGGCTGTAGCCTCCTTGGGACTTGGACTCAGATGCAGAGAGGAGAGGGTTGCGCCAGGTGCGTCTCAGCACAAAAACCCGGTCGGAATCCTCGCCTCCCTCCAAATGAGAAGGAGGCCGGAACGGCCACCTTATATCTCCCCGGCCAAGCCAATCACAAGAGGAGGCGGACTCTGTCGAGGCCAATCCCTGAGGTGGGATCCCCTCCGGCAGCCAGTGGTAGGAGAATCTGAGTCAGTGCCCTCTTCCTCCCTTCCCTTTCTCTTAAAGCTGCATCTTTGCTTCCTCTGCAAGGGGATTCCCACGCTGTTTGCATTTGTATTAGGAAGGGGGGAGGGGACATGAAGCAAAATTAATGGTCTTGAGTGTCCATCAATTAGTGTCAAAAGCAAACTGGCCATGAAGGCAGAAAATGAGGTCAAGCTGGCATTGTCCCAAGAGAAAAGCAGGATCTGCCTCAACTATAGACAGGTGGCAGCCGGGCTGGGGGGTGGGAGGGTGGCCCCACAGATCTCTGACCTCTTTGTTCCATCTAATCCCCATCCAAACCACTTCTGGCTTCCTCTCGCAGAGACTCCTGCTGTACCCCTTTATCAGCTCCTCCTGTACCCCTTTCAACGTCCACGTCTGGAATTGCCTTCACCTAAACAGACAGATGATAGATAGATAGATAGATAGATAGATAGATAGATAGATAGATAGATAGAAAGAAAGATAGGTAGATGATAGATAAAGTCTTTTTGCATCATCTGGAAAAAACCCACATAATTCCTGACCCAGAGATGGGCAGAGAGAAAAGAATGAGGGTGTCTGGCAACTGGGGATGAGAGAAAAGAGGAGAACAAAGCAAACAAAGTCCCTGTTGGGCCAGATCACTTCTCACCCCATGCCTGGCAGGAGCTGCGTAAGCGTGTTTGTTCTGCCGCCCGGGGTCAGCTTCCTGGATGAATCGGGCACAGGTCCAGTTCCAGGTTGATACCTACTAATGCCGACACACTCTGTGTGTCATCTGGTTAAAGTCCAGACTGGAAGACTGGGCCTAGGACTCTGGGATTAGCAGGCTGGAGGGCAACCCAAGGTTGAGAGGAGCTACGTAACTGCCTACCAGCCCTGCCCCTCAGAGCATGTTAAGGAGCCTCTCCACTAGGCAGAACCGTGGGATATACGCAGCTTGAATAGCCCACTCATTATTCAGGAACCAAGACAGTCTAAATAAGGCCTCCTGGGGATCAGGGATTGGAGTAAAACTGATCCTGGGCAAAAATGAGAGCATCTTTAGGTCCCTTCTCCTTGTCAAGCTCAGCACCTCTGGAGCATGCCCTGGGTCTTGTTCTGTCTGAGCTTTACCTTCATTGCTGTCTCACCCAGGGATATTTCCCCTGATGTAAAGGATGTTTAGGGGCACCTGGGTGGCTCAGATGGTTAAGCATCTGCCTTCGGCTTAGGTCATGATCTCCAGGTCCTGGGATCGAGCCCCACATCAGGCTCCCAGCTCAGTGGGGAGTCAGCTTCTGCCTCTCCCTCTGCCTCTCCCCCTGCTTGTGTTCTCTCTGTCTCTCTGTCTCTCTCTCTCTCAAATGAATACATTTTTAAAATCTTTAAAAATTAAAATTAAAATAAAAAAATAAATAGGGGCGCCTGGGTAGCTCAGATGGTTAAGCATCTGCCTTCGGCTCAGGTCATGATCTCCAGGTCCAGGGATTAAGCCCCACATCGGGGCTCCCAGCTCAGGGGGGAGTCAGCTTCTCCCTCTCCCTCTCCCTCTGCCTCTCCCCCCTGCTCATGCTCTCTCTCTCTCTCTCTGTCTCAAATGTGTAAATAAAATCTTTAAAAATAAATAGATGAATAAATAAAGGATGTTTAAAAACCTTTCCCAGACCCAAAGGCTCTAAGAGTGAGCTTTCCAGTGCTCACTATAGGCAGGAGAATGGAGGGTATTTTGACAATATAGCCTAGTCTGTGTGCCTCTCGTCCAGTCCTGTGGCATCCAGTCCAAATTACTTGGTTGAGGGCTCTGGGACTAAGTGTTGCGTGGTCCTCTACTCCTCTCCTGAGGCGCCCCTTCCTAAGGGAACCTCCAGAGTCGTAAGAGTTATCCAGGTGTTACCATAGCCTCCACTCCCAGGCTCTCTGGAAGTTTTTTCCCCACTTCATCCCTGAGGTCTCATTCTCAGCTCTCAGATGATATTTGTCTGTAGAGTTTGTCCTCTCCTTGTCCTTTTTCAGCAGGCTGACAGCTGGTCTGAACTGCCCAGAAGTAAGGTTTGGGAGAGTTCCAGGAACAGCTGTAAGACCACAGACTGCTTCAACCTGGAGTCCTTTCCCTCAGCCTGACCTTTTCCTCCTCTTCCTCACCCTAAGTCTCATCTGGACTCAGTTCTGGAGGCCTCTATGATGTTCCCGTACATCCTCTAACCCTTAACTTGGTTCCCTCCAATGGCAGCCCCCATTGGACTCCAAACCCCAAAGGCTTCAGCCCTCTCTCTCCCCCATGTTCTCTACCAGCCTCCCCCCACACACACCCTCTCTGCCAGCCACTCCAAAGAAACATTCGATGTAAGTGAAAACTGTTCCTGCCACGCAAACAGCTTCCTCTGGCTTCTAACAAGATTGCTATTCCTGAGCTCCTCTGAGATAGACATTCTGGGAGCTGGTGCTAACACCGATTCTTCCCTGGGTGGCTGTATCTCGGGGCAGGACAGCAGAAAGCCTGAGCTGTGAGACAAAGCAGCCCCCATCGTGGCTGATTCTCAAGATGTGTCTGAAGATATTTTGCAGGTCACATGGCTATGAGTTGTGGTGGGAAAAGTAATGTGTGTGAGTGTGTGTGTGTGTGTGTGTGTGAGGTCAGAAGGCAGCGTGGCAACCTGAAGAGAGAATGGAGCCAAAGTTCAGCAGGTGTGGGTTTTGGACCCTGCTCTGCCCTTACCAAGCTGTTAGGACGTTTGAGTAAGTCACTTCCCTCTCTGGGCCCATTCCTTATATGTAATGTGAAGGGTTTGGACTGGAGAATGGGGTTCTTAACCTTTCTTTCTTGCTTCCTTTCTCTTTCTTTCTTTCTTTCTTTCTTTCTTTCTTTCTTTCTTTCTTCTTTCTTTCTTTCTTTTTCTTCTTTCTTTGTTAGACTCCCTCCCCTAAGTTTGTTTAAACCTTTTCCAAGTGTCTTTATTTAAAAAATCCATAGCCAGAGTAATAAACTTACAAGGTAGTTCTCTCCTATCAAGAAAGAGGTTACGGGGCGCCTGGGTGGCTCAGTTGGTTAAGCGACTGCCTTCGGCTCAGGTCATGATCCTGGAGTCCCGGGATCGAGTCCCGCATC